GGTGGCTGTCGGTTCTGGACAATTAACCCTGCATCCATCCAGCCCACGCCACATATCTCTCTGTCAGCCCTCCAGGCATTCAGGTCATCCTCCTTAAATCTCCCTGCTCCAACTACAAACTCCAAAAAAACACTGCAAACCATTGCAAACCAGATCCCCTCAGGGCCACGGTCACACCAGCATAGATGCCAGATTCATACTGTATGAGCATGAAATTATTATAGTGTGGAATACTGTTCTATGCATTGCCTTCATTGCGACTTGGATCATATCCACTAATCATATCTGTCACCTTTTACAACGCATGAATAAAATGCTGAATAAATCATTTTTTATAATTTTTTAAGGTACAACTTTAACCTTCAGCCAAATACTTTGTTTACCTTACAGCTCTCCATTTGAGCAGATTTATTGTCTGCCATCTCTGCAGACAAGGTGCTATTGAAGCAAGCCACGTGTGGAATTAACAAAGGCTGAAACACAAGGGGGAGTTGCAGCGCGGGAAGGCAGGTAAATAACTCTTAGACCTCTGCTAAATCACAGCTTGTTTGAAACAACTCAACTTCTGGAGCAGACCAATGAAAAGCACTACCATGATTTGCTGCTCCATGGCCAGCTGTGTGGCACTTGTATGTAGTTCTCTCTCTAAGGAAGCCTTCCACACATGCACCATGGATGTCCTTCCCTTTACACTTTGCTCCAAGACCAGAACCATTAATTATGGATTGAGTTGAATCCAAGGAGAAGGAGTGTTTGTTCCAGAAAGGGCGTCTGACTTAAATGGCTGGAATGAAATTTCATAGACAGACAAGGCTAATGACAATTTGAAACACTTAGCAGTATGGATTGGTGATGGAGTGCTGATGTGTTTGCTCTCTGAGGAGAGTGGAACAGACCCAGACAGAAAGTGCATTAAGATCTCCTTTTCTGTTGTACATTAACAGAAATACTGGAATACCCCTAATGGCATGCATTATAGATGGAGTGATCAGAAGTGATTTAGAAATGACAAAGTGATAAAGGTATATAATAATAATAATATGTATATGTATGTGTGTGTGTGTGTGTGTACATACATACACAGGTCAAATTGTGCAATGCTACAAATTTAGCTTTCATAGTAAGAGTACTATGAAAGCTAATAGTTTAGCTTTTCATAGTATCTATCTATTCTGAGATAGATTAATGAATAAATAAATACCTGAAACGAGATTTGCAGAGATCTGCTAAGAATGATCTGCTCAGAAAATTAATATCCAACAAAAGCAAACAACCAAAATTGCAAAAGGATTAATTAACCTGTAATATTTACCTGAAACAAGATTTACAGAGAAAACTTTTTAAAAACACTGACCCATCCACATAATTTCACTCACTTCCACTCTCTTGTTGCCCACACACAATTCAGTGTTTACCCGCTGCTGGCGCATTCTTCCTTCACTCAGCAAGCCACCCCATCATCCCATTAAGAGTCTGAGACACACATCCAGTGACCAGGTCAATCGATAATGATGCAGACTTCTCTCATTAGGAGAAGGAGCCCAACTGCCAGGCAACCTGCCACCATCCTTCTCACCTCATCACAGATACAGTAATACAGACTCCACGGTGCACAAGCCTATGGTGATATGGAAAAACTTGACAGATGGGAGTCTAGTATTCACATGGCTTAGATCTGTGAATCACAGAAGTATGTGGCAGTTGGCACTCCGAGTTATTCAGGAAGGATAAATTATGTAGCTATTTCAAAGCAAGGATATTGCATGCAGGTTAAAAACATTAATAAATTATGTTTTGGCCCAAGGGAAGCTAGCAGTATAGCTGAGAATGCATATATAATATAACACATTTTTAGTGAATTCTCATTGGAAGCATGTTATAGACTTTAGAAAATGGCTGTATTGATTCCAGAGACTCCCTCAAATGGAGACTCCACATTACCACTTAGAGCTTGAATGAAGAAAGCAGCAGAAGATTCATTTACATACCAAAGAGGACCCGGGCACAAGAGCATCGACCACTGACACAGAAAAAAATCAATTTTCATCTTAAAAAAACTTTTTTACAATATATTTGCAGACTTACTCTATTTATTTATTTATTTTTGCAAAGTAAAATCTATATATTTTCCTGGAAGGAATGAAAGGATGTCATGAATAATAACTACAGCACAGTTTAATCTAGTTAGTGGTGCTTGCTAAACTTCACTATTCTCATTCTTAAGAGTAGGTAAGAGCCCCTAATTCTGTGTTAATAATTTTTTTTTTTTTTTTGTGATAATGACAAATTATAGCTCAAACCATGAGTATTGTTGAAGAAAAATGTGCTATAACAGAACTTTGCTAAGATCGATGGATGGACAAGGATAGATATAATGTATCTATAATGTATGTATATATATATAATACAGTTTGTACAGTATAAAAAACATTACGCCTATGGAATGTCCCCACTTTTCACAAAAACAAACCTGTGTGTGTGTGTGTGTGTCTGTGTAGCAAAATACTTGCATACTCAAAATGTGAGAGCCACCAAGTCGTATTTTATGTAAGTAACAGCGCAATCTTATCGGTTGGCCAGTTGTTTTTGTAATGCAGTGGGAAAAAAAAGTTTTTAAAACACCTCGCGTAAACCAAAAAATCCATTGTATTGATGCAATGCAAATGTTTGTGTTGATCTGAACAGATGCATTAACAACCATTCATTCAAATTTAAATATATTTCACACCTAATATTTGTCTTGGTGTGAACAGGCTTTTCACTGAAGGAGAAACCCAAGCCATATCTAGAGTCCAAAATATCACAGACCCTGTGTCCAAACATGCTTACTTCCTTTCTATATAGTAAGCGAAAAACAGTATGTGATGCTAGTATGTCAGAAAATGATGACCCACTACTTCCAGCAAGATTCCAGCATCTGATGGACACTTTACTATCCCCTGAGGCCACGGGAAAGGATTTCCATATTTGTACTTAGACCACACTTTTTTTAAAAGTCGCGAAGTAAGGTTTAATACAAATGATTTACCTATGAGACCGTATGTGCTTTTGGATGCAGCTTTTTCAGACTTGAGCTAGTAAGCATCCGATTAGCAGCCACCTAGCAACCACCCACAACACTCCAGCACAGCAACAGTGAGTTTTCCACTTACATTTTGTACAGAAATCTTATTCAATCTACAGTTTAAGCATCTGTTCTTGTAGTGGCACATGGCTACGTTGCTAATAGAGTGTTGGTTGTAGGTGTGGTCTCATATGGAGATAAGCATGCTTTGGCAAGACTTGTGTGAAATTGTAGCCCCCCTAAGGCTGGTGTGGACACCACAGGGACACAGACCCTCACCACCTGCACCAAAACAGTGGGGGCGCCAGCAACCCCGAGCAATTAGCACGCCACCGCTGTCTGTATGAACTTCCTCCCACCCACCTGACAGGCGTGAATGTTCCGGAGCCCTGGTGCTGGGCCTCATCGATTGCCTCTTTGAAAAGGTCGGTGTCTTGGCAAGACACCGGCACCCCCTGCACACAATCTCTTCACAGCCCACTCGCCTACTGCAGAGACAGCCGACCAATCTATTGTGGCAGGAAACACCAGCCGTCCTGTCAGAGAAAGACAGGATGCCCTGTAGCAGCGATACCTAAACATTGGGTTTAGCGCACATGCAGATGTCTCAGCAGTATCTCGCCTGGAATTTGAGGAATCCTTGACATTTTCAAAAGAGAGAATATGTAATCAATGCTATCCGACAACAAAGAGATTGTACTCCTGATGGAAAAAATAGATGAGGGCTTTACAGTGATGCCACCATGCCTGTCAGCAGTGGATCTCTTCAAATCTTTTAGGTGGCTGTCATGTGCAAGTTATGAGTGACACATGAATTCTTTGTAAAACAGCTTTCAAAGCACTTGCGATTCAGTCTCCCACCACAAAATAAAAACCTCTTTCTTTGCCTGACACATCACAAATATCTTTTATCTCCCGTGTCTTGTTTGCTGCAAGCAACTGTCTCCCTTACAAAACACCTCTAAACATCAAGTGTGTCAATGGAGATAAAGCTGGATGGATGGATGGATGGATGGATGGGAAAATTAGATAGATATAATGATGGATGGATGGATGGATGAAAGAGAAAATTAGATATGATGGATGGATGGATAGATGGATGGGAAAATTGCATATAATGATGGATGGGAAAATTAGACAGATATAATGATGGATGGATGGGAAAAATAAGATATAATTACGGATGGATGGATGGGAAAATTAGATATGATGGATGGATGGGAAAATTAGATATAAAGATGGATTAACAGATGGATGAGAAAATTAGATATAATGATGGATGGATGAATGGATGAATGGGGAAATTAGATATAATGATGGATGGATGAATGGGGAAATTAGATATAATGATGGATGGATGAATGGATGGGGAAATTAGATATCATGATGGATGGATGGGGAAAATAAGATGTAATGATGGATGGATGGATTTATGGATGGATGGGTGGATGGATGGATGGATGGATGGATGGATTTATGGATGGATGGGTGGATGGATTTATGGATGGATGGATGGGTGGATGGATGGATGGATGGGAAAATTAGACAGATTTAATGATGGATGGATGGATAGATGGATGGAAAAATTGCATATAATGATGGATGGATGGATGGATGGATGGATGGGAAAATTAGACAGATATAATAATGATGGATGGATGGGAAAATAAGATTGGATGGATGGATGGGAAAATTAGATATAATGACAGATGGATGGATTTATGGATGGATGGGAAAATTAGATAAAATGATGGATGGATGGGAAAAATAAGATGTAATGATGGATGGGTGGATGGATGGGTAAATTAGACAGATATAATGGATGGATGGATGGGGAAAATAGATATAATGATGGATGGATGGATGGATGGGAAAATTATACAGATATAATGATGGATGGATGAGATGGGAATATTAGATGTAATGATGGATGAATTGATGGATGGATAGATGGATGGGAAAATGAGATATAATTATGGATAGATGTATAGATGGATGAGAAAAATAGATATAATGATGGGGAAAATAGATAGATAGATAGATAGATAGATAGATAGATAGACTGTAATGAACAGACATGAGCTGTTTCAAATGTGTCGACTGGATTTTTTCCCCTCCCAGAATGAAACATTCTTGACAGGAAATGCCATGAACATTCGTTTTGGAATGGCAAGACGAGCAGATTCCATACTTTGCCATGCAAGTGTGATATGTGTTCTGACTCTGCTCATCACCCTGTCATCATGGACAGATTCTCCTCTTCTCAGACTCATCCTAAATAGGAAACTGTAATATTGTTTACACTGCAAGTAATTGTCTCTGAATAATTTTACATTTTGATGCAGCATCACTATACATAAAGTGGTGGTGGAAATGTATTGGTTTTGATGCAACCTTGCAACTTGATTAAGGGTTTCATTAAGAGATCTAAACTGCTTATTCTGAAGAGTCCTTTATGCATATCATTATTATATAATTATTATTATATAAATAGAAGGAACAATTCAGCCCTTCAGAGCTTCACAGCCACTGTCCCTCTTTGTCATTGTATTGAAAAAATCAAGACATTCAGCAAAATTTCTTCTAAAAATCTAAATTGCAACAAATGCAGCCATAAATGTTTTAATGAAATCATTGCCAGCAACTTGACATGCACTCCTGCAGCCACCCGAGGACCATGTCCAGCTTCTCATCTCTACTGCTCTGCCTCAGAGTCGAGGAGGCACCGAGCTGAGGGTCGCTTTCAGAAGCTGCAGCTTCTTCTTCTTCATATGCGGCCAGTAACTCCCTGCAGTCCTTCATGTCCTTCAGCTTCCGGTAGAACACTCTACAGCTGTAGCCTTCTCTCCAGCCCTGCTCTATGTGTGTCATCAGCTGCTCAAGCTCATTGTAGTAGCACAGACAGCCTGAGCACTTGTACCTTTTGATCCCACAAACCACTTTCGTCGCCGTCACAGTTTGGATAAAACAAGCGTTTAGTCCCAGACTTTGAAGGTCTCTGGAAAGGTGGTTGATTCCAGTGCAGAACCTGAGGTTGACAGTGCATAGCCTTGGGAGGATCTTAGAGCAGCTGGGCTTAACACCAGGTCTCTCCATGGTTTTGGACGGCAACCTCGCAGAGTTTGCAAGGCTCTTCTGACCTCAACTGTTTTCAAATAAACTTTATGGTTTATAGTTGTCCTTGAACACTAACAGACGTTGACAAATAATCTGTGACAAAAGAAAAAAATCTGCATTTAAACTGAAAGGTCAAAATTTTTTTTGAAAGAACACAAAAATGGTGAAAAATGGGTTTAATTCGCTTTGACCTTTAACAAGTCTGTAGATACATCTAAGATATATGCTTTTCCCAAGACTGATTGCCCCTCAGTCACTGTGATTGCATGCCATAGACAATTTCCTTTCTACAAGTTGAAATGGTATGAAAGGATATGAGTTGCACTGTAAATCAATAAATCTGATGACATACAAAGACTCTAACAACAACACGACTGTCAAAGCTTTACCCTAACAAACCTTTTTTTTTCTTCCTGCTTAAAGGGGTCAGATTGGGAGAAATTGAATTTTTCCTCAACTTCGGACATAAAACTAGCTTCAAGAACTGAACACTTTTCCTCAGTCCAAAAAGAGCATTTACTAACACTAGACTGTAAAAACAGCTCTTTCTGAATTTGAGAGGTAATAAGTTTTAAGTTTTAAGTGAAATGTGGCCAAGTATGGTGACCCATACTCGGAATTAGTGCTCTGCATTTATCCCATCCAAAGTGCACACACACACCGTGAACACACACCCGGAGCAGTGGGCAGCCATTTTTTTTTTGCTGCGGCGCCCGGGGAGCAGTTGGGGGTTTGGACGAGACTCGAACCCGCAACCTTTGGGTTACGAGTCCGACTCTCTAACCATTAGGCCACGACTTCCCCTTAATAAGGATGAAGTATGATAGATATTAATCCTAAACACCACAATAATTAACAAAAGGAGTAAAAAGTGGTTGCAAAGAGGCTGTCACTGAACACTCTCAGAAAAAAAGGTACAATAGCTGTCACTGAGATGGTACCTTTCCAAAAGGTACACTTTTTGTACCTAATATGTACCTTAAAGGTAGCAATATGGACCCTTTAGGTACAAAGATGTACCTTTTGAAAAGCGCCCCAGTGACAGCTTTTGTAGGCTACCATTTTTTCCGACAGAGATAGGACAGCACATGCTATATTGGACCCAAGGCTGCATTTATCTGATCAAAAACATACAGTAAAATATTACAATTCAATTCAAAACAATGTTTTTCTATTTTAATGTCTTAAAATAAAGCAATAAGTCCCAAGAAGCCGTGGTTTACAGTGAATTTATAACAGCTAAGGGGGGTTGTTAGGCACGACGCGAAGCGGAGCCCCTTTAGCTGTTATAAATTGCTTATTGCTTTTATAAAACGGTAATTCTAATTTATTCCTCTGATAGCAAATTAAGCTTAATTTCCAGCAGTTGTTACTCTGGATTCCTTAATGAAAGAAAGTTAAAAAGAACAGGATTTATTTAAAATATAAATACTGTCCCCAAACTTTCGAACTGTAGTGTAAGTTCTCGTGTTCTCAAGGGTGTTTAAATTAAAGTCTTACAGATGTAGTTTATTTATTTAATTCTAAGTATCAAAAATAGGGTGTAAAATGGTCACGCTTGATATGGTCCCTTTAAATTTTTTGCATAATTCAACCTTAGTACTTCAGTGAATACCTCAATGACAAACAATAAATAAAGGACAAAACAAAAAGTACAATTTCAATCTGCTTGATTCTCAGTTGCGCTTCTGTGACTTTGTGAGGAACAGCAGGCAGCTTCCACACAGATGTACCCAAGGTTTTAGTGCAAATAATCAAATCAATTCACATCAAGAGTCTGTGTGTCTAGAATAGGCAAAGTTCTCTATCACCTCAAAGTTACCTTCCCTTGTAGATCGTCTGGCATCAGTGTCCGTAATGGCAGTGTTTCCTATGAAATCCAATGATATGGATCCTATGAAAGATGTCTTTGGATGTCAAGCTCTAGTTTGAGATGAGAAACAAACAGCTGAGACGGGTCACAGCAATTGTCCATAAATAAATCCAATTAAATGAAGTTGCCGTTGAGGTAATTGTTTGTGATATGCCACTGCAACTGGAGCATATGAAAACATCGGCTTAGACACAAATGATGTAAATTATTCTAATTCCATGGAAATTTGGAAAGAAAGCAGAAGTACAAAAAGATTGAAAATGAATACAGTGTGTAACAAATGAAAATAATAAGTCATCCATTTAATGAAGTGGCAGGAGAAAGGCAGAAAGAGAAGAAAAATGGGGAATGATTGTACAGGATGCAACTCCATTGGGAGTTAAATTATACATAATAGTCCCAATAGTCATTTTCAAAAAGCTTGGAGGCATAACCTCTTACTGCAGGCCACAACAAAGCAAACCTGGATCTAAACACATAATAGCTGCAATACAACTACACTCTTACCTTTAATGTCCTTCACAAACATCTCCATCATATTTTTCATATCATTAAACAAAAGCAACAGTATCCATTTCTGTTACTTTTTAAATTATTGTTTAGTGTTACCAAGGAAACCAGAAGAAGGTTCTAACTATCAGATATTTACAGGTTCTGTATAAGTGATTTCTAATGAAATGGCACTCAAAAATATCCCTATTAATTGACAGAGATCCCTGAATTATGCATCCTAAAATATAGCAACTGTCTCCACAACAGCAAAAACAAAACTGAACAGCAGTGAATGAAAATGGTTTGAGGTACACTCTCCCTGTCAATCATTTTGTATGTGTTCACAGGACACCTCATGTAGCAGGATACAGAAAGCTTGGATCATTTTTAAGCACCATATTCAGTTTAATTTGCAGTAGTCGGAGAGTTTATCATTGGTCTTTACACAGACTGCTCAGAGGTGGCATGAATGCATTTACACAGCTAAAGGCTAAAGTAAGAATATGCAAAATATTCTATGAGGGTTACATTTCAATTTTGTTTCTTGAAAATAAAATAAAAGTTTATGAATGTAGGGATAATAATAATAATAATGCAAGGGATAATAATAAAATAATTAAATATATAATTTGAAAAGTGCAACAATTGGGATCCAAGAAGTAAAAATCCCATTCTTTTTCTCCATAGGGAAACTGATTTTTAACAATAACTAATAAGCCTTTAAAGACAGTCCTATTGTCAGCTATACGGAAAGTTAATCTCCCCACACTCTCAAAGTCCTTAAATATAGTGTATATATGCATATATTGTAACTATTGTAAAATATATTGCTTCTATATACAATCAACATCTTTAAATCAATATTTTTACATTTATTCATTTTGATTAGGTTATTCACATTTCTTTGTGGGATTGTAGATCTTTCCCTCATTAAAGTACAGTCTTGTACATTTGTCAGTTTTTTGCTTCAAATCAAAGTTTGTAATATTGTGACGTATATTGTCACCTCATAGATGTTTGGCTTGGTTCATGGATTATATCTCTTTAACAAAGACTTTTAAAATCAAATATAAGTCAGAATAGAATAGATCTGTCAATACATTCATCATGACTTTAAAAACACTACACGCTACACTAAACCCTGGGCTAAGGTCACTTTTAACCTCTGAGTGGTTGATATTTCACACCAGACATTTTGAAAAAGGTTCACAAGCTGTGTTTAACTTTATCGCCTGAAACAGTGTTGAACATTAATGACACGTGACTTTACAACGCAAATGCATCAGGGTCTTTTGGAATGATCCACCCTATAACCTCACTAAAAACCTGAAGTAATGAGAATACGGTGAAATCAGCCGTTCACAGGCTGTGCAGTCATTTTTTTTGACAACACGAGCCAGTCGAACAGACAGTGTAGAGAACGATAGCATGTATCTGTCAGTGTCTCTCTCATCTCGCTTTGCCAAATCAAGCTTGTTTTCATCTCTGAAAAGAGAAGCTCGGCATACAGAGAGACCTTGTCAAGCAACACATGGGATGTAGGCGAGCAAGCTGCCTTCATATCTAAGATCCAAACCGCATCACAAGGAGGTGAGAGCCGTTTTCTCCACAGAGATCATTTTAATATTTAATGCCCTTTTCTAAAGCTAAAAAGTGACGTGGTCGTAATCCCATTTGCCGATGACTACAGTGCACCGGCACTGACGCCGCTGCCGAAGAGAAAGAAGTTGTGCGGATGCAGCGAGACGAAAATAAGGTTCTCCACAGTGATTCATGCAGAAGGCACATCTAACACCTCTCTGGCAGCAGAGCCGGTGTGATCTGACGGCTTCCAGAGCTTCATTCCATGACCCTGTTTTCCTAAAGCCTGCCAGAGTGTTCCGAACTAATCCCATCCTGCACCCGGAGAGCGAGGCAGATGACACCATACAAAAGAAGCCCACAAACAGTATGAAATATCAAACAGACGCACATCATGAATGAGTAATTGAGAATGACTGCGGGGCAGCGCGCATAGTGAGGGGCATGAGCGCTTCCTCATACTCAGCTGCACATCTTCAAGCCAATCAGATAGGCTGCCAATGACACCTCCATCGTCTCGCTGCGACTCCAACACGGATGGAAAGAACAAACACGCATTCGGAGGGTGAACGAGATTAGTGCTTTATAAATGGGAAAAGTAACACCCCAGTGAAGTGGTGGGAGTGTGTAATACGGCGGGAAAAAAAAGATTGCCAGGGGTTGTCAGCTGATGGTAAAGAAAGACGGGCACACATTGGGATGTTATTCAATGGCTTTAATGTGTAAAAAGTCAAATATGAAATCAATTATAAGTTAAAGGAACTTCTTAGATCTAGAAAAAAATGTCATTACAATTAAAAGGTGCACTCAATACATTTTTTCGCACAAAGAAATGAAAAACAAAAAAAGATGCTGACATGAGATGAAGCCTGGAGTCATATCAGTACCCAAATAAAAGCAGTTTTATTTTACATGGAGTGGGTTGGTTCAAGTTAAATACTACTAACCTTATTTCAGAAACCTTGCGCATTAATAAATTAATTGCTGCTGACTGCAAATGACATAAAATGGTGTAGCGCAACAAAACAAATACTGAGTGCACCTTTAAGTTCGATATTAGACATTATTAACCATAATGCATTTTTAAAAAAGAATACCTTCATTTCTGATGTTAAGGTCACTTACATCACAGTATAAAGTTACCTGAATTTTCTTCCAGCATTGATACCATTTCAAAACATCGTTTCAACATTCTACCATCAGCGAAATTAAACATAAAATTAAATTAAATTAAAAATCATTCATTATTCCAAGAAAAGTGCATATTAACTACTGCTGTAACCAACCACACAACTTTTTGGCCATTCATTTTTCTGCATGTTTGATGCACCAACTTTAACCACATTTATATAGAGAATGTATCATTCTTTGTGTTTGATATTTCCGGGATAAAATGACCATATAGCCACAGTGGTTTAAATAGGACTTAAGGCCATCCATACAGAATATCCTCGTTTTTGACCTCTTCAAGAAAACCCATTGTCAATTCTGTGGCTTTGCCCTTTGCGGAAAAGCCCTACCATCACAAACATAATGGGTTCTCATAATTGTATCATCACATGATCAATCTCTCAATCATCTTTTTATCTATGGAGGCCCTGGAAACATCTGTCCAGTATTGAGCTCATGTCACATGCTCTCAGAGAAGCAGATCAGTAAACCGATTCTTCCCATGATAATGTTTAGTTGGCCCATCACCTTATAAATTAATACAAAAAATATGTTCCATAAACCAAACGAGAAAACTTCCCTTTCACTTATATTTTAGGAATAAAATGTCCTTCTTTGAACACTGTGTGAGGCACTTAAAACATTCGAAAAGTCTTTAAAAAGTCTTCATTTACTCACCTTTAAGTCTTTCAAAAACATTTCTCTTTGTGGAACACAAAAAGAGATATTCATAGAAGCTGCTCTTTTCCATAGAATGAAGTGAATGGTGGTTTTCACCCAATAACAACTTATAAAACTAGATTTCTATATAGAATATAGCTCCTGACTTTTTTGGACTACTTTTATATTTTTAAAGTGCCTTTTTTGCAAAATAGCAGCATAAACATTCTTCAAATGGTCTTTTTTTGTGTTTCACAGAAGAAAGTCGTACAGTCTTGGAACAACATGAGGGTGAGTAAATAATGACAGAAAGGTCATTTTTGACTAAAAATCTACTTCCTATTTTCCACATTCCATCCATTTTAAGGACACCAGCAATCCCTGAAGTAATAAATAACTGAGAAAGCCAAGTTAATCAAATAAATTCATTATAAAAGGACTTACAGAAATAATCATTCAGCATAAGAAACGGACCCACAGATGGTCAGAATTTAAAGGTTTATATCCACATACTCCAAACTAACTAACCCACACTGTTTCTCTACAACTTCAGGGAAATATGAAGCGAAAACCACAGCAATTTGGCCACTACAATCTAGTATTTGCTGTGACATCCAGCTCTGTTTCATCCCACAATCTACAGCAGGTAAATGACTAGAGGTTGGCTGCCATATGCTTTCAGATGTAAGTAATAATCACTGTACATTTTTAACTGTATAAAAAGTGTAGCCCAGCATCTCAATCCCTGCATAGTGGGCTACTGAAATTACACACATGTAAATAAGAGCTGATGTTATAACATGGAGGACAAAGCAGGACATGGAATAAAACGGAGAATTTGGCACCATCTAGTGGTTGGAAAGGCAACGGCAGCAGCGCCATCGCCAGCACTGCTGCTTGCTTATCTGAGCCTAACCTCAATACTCAGCCAAAAATACACACACAACCAGGCTGCCAAAGCGCTCTAAGTGCAAGCGAGATCTGACTTACATCAGGCACCGGAATACAGAGGAGTTTTTAAAAATGCTAGTCACTAGTAGTTAAATATGTCAACGAATTTGAATAAATAGAAGCTACTTTGCAGAATAGCAGGGGAGGATGAGACACCAGCAGATGGGGCTGGCAGCACTGACTGATTAAAATAACTCAAATCACCATCTTGTAAAATGGTAATGATTGTCAATTGCGACAGAGAGGCCCAGAGGTTATGATGAGCGCTTAAATACAGTGGTTATATTTTGCAGAGAAATGGAGGTGTTTAGTAATGACGTCTATGTGCAGGCCAACCTGGAAGACTAATTCACCATGGGTTCCCTCAGGAACTTCCTGTGGGCTTTAAGAATGGCAGTTTTGGATTTATGATTAAAATAAGGTCTGTGGTTTGGAGACTTTCACATTTCATTATACAACATACACTACTGTTTAAACATTTGAAACTGGTAAGAAATTTGTATTTTTTTTTTTAAATGAGTCTTTTATGCTCAGCATAAAAAATCTGTAATATTGTGAAATAATATTACAATTTAAAATAACTTTTCTATTTTAAAATGTAATTTATTCCTATGATGGCAAAGCTGAATATTCAGTATTCAGTGTCACATTATCCTTCAGAAATCATTCTAATATTCTAAATATGATGAATGATGTTTAAAGGGGTCATATGATGCGATTTCATTTTTTCCTTTCTTTTTTTCAGGATTCAAAAGAACAGAATCTATTTGAAATAGAAATCTTGTGTAACGTTATAAATGTCTTAACTGTCACTTATGGTCAATTTAATGCATCCTTGCTCAGTAAAAATAATATTTTCTTCAAAAATGAAATCTTACGGACCTCAAACTTTTGAACAGCAGATCATGTTATAGTACACATACATTATTTTACTAAAAATCCAAAACTCATTCGAAATTTTAGAGAACACTCATTGCATGAAAATGGAAATTCTTCTCAGGGTTTTAGGATTAAACCCAAACAACTCTATTACGAATGATGAATTTTAATACACTATCCAAAAATGTTCAAATCTAATGTTATATCATTAAAACATACTATATTTTCTTTACTTTATCTGTACTGTGCACGTCATGTAACAGGAAGGCACTATCAATCCTTAATCCTTAAGGAACTGGAATGCTCAATAAACTGGTGTGAAGTCAGAGCAGCCGATATGAAATGCACTTTGAACTGTAGTGCAGGTGAAGAGTGTAGAGAGAACCTTTGCTATGTTCTCTCTTCAAACAACCACTTCTGGGAGGCCGAGTCGGAGCAGGGCCGGAGAGCGGGGCCAGGGTTCCCAGTGTCAGTCCGGGCTACTGCCTCAATGCACTTCTGTGTCTGAACATGGTAGAGAGAGCCGTCCTGCCAATGCAAAGATTATGAGAAGTGTTACACATCCAAGTTTAATACTTAAGGTCAGGGGTTTGTTCAAATACTATATAGGCACTAGAACAGGAAGCTCAGTCAACCCCAGCACCTCCTGCCGACTCTAAAACCCCACAGAATCACGCTGACGTCACGCTGCTCTTCAGGTGCTTGCTGTACCTGCAAAGAGTTCACACTAAGGCTTGCTTCTGAAATTTCACTGCAAGCCACACTGAAACCTCTTGCCATGCTGTGTGACTTTCTCAAGTAACGCTTTAATGTGACATTTTCATGGACCTTCGTTTGCTTCCAAGAACACTTGATGTGCTGCAAAGAGTGCATGTTAGTGTAACTAAATGCGAACCATATGATGATGCTAGACCTGTCAATTTAAAGCTCATTTAAAAAACTGTAATTATAATCTGACAACATTTTAAAATGTAAATACTAATGTGTCTGTTAATGATTTAATCAAATGTCACAAAAATGTCTTAAAAATGATCTTAATGTGCAGGCACTTCTCAGCAAATACTGTTCAGTTTGGGGTCAGTAAGATTTTATTAAGTGTTTTTGTCTCTTATGCTGCATTTATTAGAACAACAATGCAGTAAAAACAGTAATATTGTGAAAATTTTTAATACATTTTAAAGGGATACTCCACCCCAAAATGAAAATTTTGTCATTAATCGAAGCTTTTACGGGTTGGAATGAAATGGGGGTAAGTGATTAATGACAAAATTTTCATTTTGGGGTGGAGTATCCCTTTAATATACTTCAAAATATAATTTATTCATGTGATGGCAAAGCGGAATTTTCAGCATCATAACTCCAGTCTTCAGTGTCTTCTGAAATCATTCTAATATGCTGATTTGCTGCTCAAGAAACATTTCTTATTATTATCAATCTTGGAAACAGTTGTGCTGCTTAATATTTTTGTGGAACCCGATATGCATATTTTAGGATTCTTTAATGAATACGAAATTCAAAAGAACTGCATTTATTTCAAATAGAAATCATTTGTAATATTAACCAAATGTCTTTACTGTTACTTTTGATAAATTTAATGCGCCCTTGCTGAATAAAGCTATTAATTTATTTCAACAAACATCTTATTAACCCCAAACCTTTGAACAGTAGCGTGTATATGATTATTTGAAATCAATAAATGCAATTAATTTGAATAAAATTCTATTTGCATACAATCAGTTTGCACTGACATGATTAGTGATCTCACCTCTCTGAATAGAAACTTCTGGTCTTCAGGCACAGCTTCCCTGGGTTTACTGCAGTGATGCATGGTAAGGAATGTGGAGACAGGATCAGCCACGACGCAGCCTGCAGGCTCCCTCGTGTTATAACGGATCTCTTGGAGTGTGGAGTACTCAAAGAACTGTCATAAAAAGAGAAAGGAAGATAAATACACACAAGAAGCTCAATACATCATATTAAATATTACAGTACTCTCAATATAGCGACATTTTGTGAGCAAAAAAGGACTTTGTCTATTGTGAAGAATAGTGTGGTGATAAATGGAAAAAACACACAGATTCCTATTGCAATGATTGGATTTCACCCGTAAAATTTCACTGTGCATTATTTGACCTTCATATAATGTCTAAAATATTAATTCACACAAGTTGAGATGGATTCTTTTACTGCAAAAAAGTGAACCACAAATAATTTCACTATTTCCAAAAGACAACACATTTAATACGCAATATTGCTATAATTGCTGATAAATTCTAACATTCTGTCAGTCTTTAGTATAGGGTCTCAGACACATCACCCTTCAGCAAGTGACATGATTCTGTGATATTAGTTGGTGGCATTTCATTCTGTAAAATACAGAAAATTGTATGTCATAATCGTATATCACGCAAATTATCAAGCTATAATTCAATAAAGTTTGCCTGATCTCAACCAGAACATATTTCTGAAGGTCTGCTATAACCTTTAATAGAAATACTTTCTTAAATTACAACATAAGCATCTTTTTTAAAGTCTCAAACAGGATTGACCCACATGTACCAAACCAGATAGAAACAGAAGATCATTTCTCTTGTATTCACAGAGAGAATCCATTAGAAGAGTGTTGTTGTGCTGTACATATGGCTGATATTGTGCGCTGATGAGTCTCCAGGGCTCATCTGCCTCCCCACAGAGAGGGAGGAGACGAATAAAGTCACGCCGCTGTGGCAGGCGGCTGGAGTCGCTTTAAAAACAAGCGTGCTGTGGAGTACACAACACACTATTTTCTGTGCCATCTTAATAACACATTAGAAGTCTGGGACACACTTTGATGTATATTCCTGAGGACGCATTACAATCTCTGTGTATTGTGCGGCAGTGAACACTAATTGGAGCAGTGTGGCTAACTGTCGTTACAGTTGAGAAAATTAAAGTTACCTGGTTTTGTCCCATGCCGTGACAAGGGTAAAGAATGACCTGGTGACCGGCCATATTGTGATCATCAGGTGGGTTGTAGTCAAAGCAGTAGTTGGCCATTCCTTTATTCTTCAGCTACAATTGAAAAGAGACAAAGAAACATTCAAAAAACAGGGTCCAAAAATCTATTTTTTCTTATTTAAAGGGATAGTTCACTCCAAAATGAAAACTGTCATCATTTACTCACCACTCATGTTGTTCCAAAATCATAAGAAATGTGTTCATCTTCATTTGTGTTCCTAAGATATTTTTAATTTGCTGTCCCTCCACTGAAAATCTGTTCACCCAAAATTCTGACTCTTCAATTTTTATAATGTTAATAAAAGCAATCTGTTAAATTAAATCTGTTCATCGCATCTTATGGTTTTTTATGGTTTTTAAATGACATGAAGGCGATGAAATGATAAACTAACCATTTAATAAAACATTTTTAATCAGAAATTACATTATCAGCATAATATGAGTAAAAAGAAAATTAGGTTACACTTTATTTTAAGGTGTCCTTGTTACAGTGTAATTATACATTTAAGTACTGAGTAATACCAATTAACTACATGTACTTACTACATGGTTAGGGTTAGGATGAGGGTTTGGCTGAGTGTTACTTGCATGTAATTATGCATAATTTATTGGTATTACAATAATAAGTACATGTAAAGTGTAATAACGACACCTTAAAATAAAGTATTACCGAAAATTACATAGACATTAATATTTCTTTTAAGTATTTCCTTTTCATTTGAAATCATAATATGTTTGTTCTGAACTTCTAAAAATCTGAAAACATTGTTTAGTTCAACCTTTAAACTAAACAGTCTCAGATTTTGTCTACACTATGCCACTCGCTTGCAGTGCAGCTTTGTAGATTACAAAGCAACTGACCTCATTTCATCATGTCACACTATGCTTGCAGTGTAAACTCTGAACCAAACCAACCTGCTAACTGCTGTGGGAAATAGCATTTTAACTTCTTCATCTCTGCTGCTACAAAGATAAGAAGTTTGTCTCTCCTCACCATGCCAAACATTCCAGGCCTGTCCTCTGGGACTTGAATGTCAGGGTAGATGTTCTCCAAGAACCACTTAAAATCTTTACAGCCAAGACGCATTCGGAGTTTCCGTCTGTCCGTCACATCACCATATGCTTCCTGAAACAAGCGTTAAAAAATGATGGATCCTTTTGAAGATATTTTACTACATTCAGTTTTTTTTTTTAATTAATCACAATTACTTCATAAGTGTTGGTAAAATAGGGTATAAGTTAATAATTGTTCTAAAATAGCATAAGGTATATACATTAAACATTATACATACAGTATACATTATAAAAAAATCTACATTCAGATAAAACACCAGATATAATAGATAAATAAATAAACCCACCAACTTTAAGTTTAAGTCCTTAAAGTGTAAGGCAAGTTATTAAATAATTAATATACTGCAGATTTGCATTTCCTATGTGCTTTGATGCAGTTTGAGGTTTATATTTATGCACATTTATTATGCATGCACAAATAGATTATTATTTGCACATTTTTAAAAGAGAATATTTATTTTCATAAACTGCAACTTTTTTAATTCTATCATTTTTCAGAGGTATGTAAACAACAGCAGCAGCTTTTATGTCACCAACATGCTGAATTGTATATTGCTTGTTTGACACATATTTTATTGTTTGACAGCTGTGGTTCTGCAAAGAAACAATTGAAAAGAGACAAAGAAACATTCAAAAAACGGGGTCCAAAAGTCTATTTTTTCTTATTTAAAGGGATAGTTCACACCAAAATGAAAATTGTCATCATTTACTCACCACTCATGTTGTTCCATAATCATAAGAAATTTGTTCGTCTTCATTTGTGTTCCTAAGATATTTTTAATGTGCTGTCCCTCCACTGAAAATCTGTTCACTCAAAATTCTGACTCTTCAATGTTTATAATGTTAATAAAAGCAATCTGTTCATCACATCTTATGTTTTTTTATAGTATTTAAACGACATGAGGGCGATGAAATGACAATTTTCATTTTAGGGTAAACTAACCATTTAATAAAATATTTTTAATCAGAAATTACATTATCAGCATAATATGAGTAAGACGTTTTAAAAGAAAATTAGGTTACACTTTATTTCAAGGTGTCCTTGTTACAGTGTAATTATATATTTAAGTACTGAGAAATACCAATTAACTACATGGTTAAGGTTAGGATGAGGGTTTGGTGTTACTTGCATGTAATTATGCATAATTTATTAGTATTACAATAATAAGTACATGTAACGTGTAATAAAGTCACCTTAAAATAAAGTATAACCGAAAATTATAGACATTAATATTTCCTTTTAATTATAAATTATAATATGTTTGTTCTGAACTTCTAAAAATCTGAAAACATTGTTTATTTCAACCTTTAAACGAAACAGTCTCAGATTTTGTCTACACTATGCAACTCGCTTGCAGTGCAGCTTTGTAGATTAGAAAGCAACTGACCTCATTTCAACATGTCAGCATTTGTTTCTAAAATAAAATTTGAGTTATTTCTGAGATACTACAGGCAATATTTTCTTTATAAACAACCATGCATTCTAAAATGGAACTTTACATAGACATCTTTTACACAGACACAGTTGGCTGCTTCAATCATCTGCATTCAGAGCTTATATTTTTGATTAATTTTTCTGTCTGTTGTGACAGACAAATTGTTACGTATCCGGTCCATGAACTTCCGTCTGCTAGCCATCAGAGGTCACCCTTTCCATTTTATTCAGCCCCAATGTGAATAGAAAGGAATGTGAATTCCCTGTGGGAATCCATCAAGAATAGGCAATAATAATTCTTGCCTTAGTAAACACCACATGAACAGACTGTTTACAATACTCTCTCTTCATACTAAATCAACTGTTTTCAAAAAACCAAACATCTAATCAGATTTTGTCATCTTGTTTTATAAGCATTCTGGTGCAATTACCCTACAGCGGTACACCGCAAATTGTTACATACTGCAACATCCTGTCGCAAAATAATGTTGTAACCCCATCTCAACAAACAAGACTGATAAAGGCCAAGTTCCTGTGTATGTTTGTGGCATCTCTTCATAACTGCCCGTCAGACAAGAATTACTGGTGAGTGATGGTCCACACTTATGAGGAACATCTGCTGGAGGTAAAGCTCTGGCGAAGAGTTTCATCAGATCTGCAGTAAGATGAATCACAAGAAGTGCACTTCTAATTAACTAACTTGATAGCGAATCATCAATAACGTACAACCCCACTGTGAATGCCAGTCGGGTGGCACAACATCACACCCATTGATGATGGGTCTGTGATCAGGCTTCAGTCTCAACAAAGTCCAGCTACACGCTGAATCAAGCGGCTGTCAAATTAAGCTTTCTGATCATTGAGATCCATCACAGAGCCTAGTTTTGGACTGTGTGGCACAACCAACAGAGATTTTGGCCATAAATAAAATATGCCGTGAGACTCAGAGGGTGAAAGAGAGAGCGATCCTCTTACGAATTTGCGTGGAAGCGGAGTATGAAGGTTGTCAAACCTGATCCACGTTGGCAAGGCTAGTGTTTGCCTGTGGTTTATACCCAAAGAGAGAGAGAGCCTTATCTGCTGGCATCACATCAGATAGATTTCGAGTTGGCGATGCCAACCTGGCAGCATCTCGAAGGTTCAGAGAAAAAAAAGAGTTACCCGATCTGTCACCAAGAGCACCTCTCTCTTTAACTACATGGCTCGGTGGGGACAAACATAACTAAATGACAAACATGGCTGAAAGAGGTGACACAATTTCACACCAAGCACAGAGAGGACCTGAGGAGTTTCAGCTCACCTGCTAAATGTCATTCATTTAGAGCATATCAACAGATTCTGTGAAAGTGGGTGAGGATATATCTAGATTCGTGCAAAGAAAATGTGCGTCTTTCACAAGGGCTATGTAAGATAGACAGTGTGATAAATGTATTCTTTGAAAACAAGCAGACAAGCAAACAAAGGCAGAGTTATGCAACAGACCGCACAAGTAGGCGTACCAGACGAGCATGAGGGCTGCGATGGTAATACATTTCTTTGTATTCGTCCATCCAGACTTCTGCCGCCCGCACGCTGTTGGCCAAGGCCTTGTTTCTCGAGTATGGCGCTTTCTTCGGAAAGACATGACCCACGTGAGAGCAGGGATGGATTTCCAGACTCCCTCCACACTGCCAGATCTGAAAAACACCAAGTCAGGAAATAGATAAGCCATCCGTAACAATACATAATATGACAATTCCCCAGGTGTATATTTCCTTGTACAGACCCATTTATACTTTGTGAGAAAAATATTGTGTGATATTATAATTAAAATAAATAATTACATAAATGGTTTTTGTTTTTTCATTATTCTAAAGCTAAAGCAGATTATTCTTAAAATATACGGTAATCAGGAAAATATTTACTTTGTTTGAATTTTTCTGTGTATCTTTTTGTCCCAATTATTAGGCTATAGATAGATATATAATGCTGAAGACAAACATTTTTCATTTTTCATTTAATTAGACATTTATTTGTATAGCATTTAAATAATAAGAGTAAATATTGCTCCAAAGCCGCTTTAAAGACAAAACTGCCATAATATCCTCAGTAAGCAAGCTTAAGGTCATTACTGACCTTTGTATATTTGACCTATGAAGATTTGGTTTCGATTTTTTACTGTTTAAAACTATGAAACATCATGATTAATTCAACCAGAACAAGAACATTAAACAGTAATAATATAAAATTTGGTTATTGTACTAAATTATTACAATTTATACATTAAAGGCACAATATATAATTTTTCGCCGCTAGAGGGCGCGTATTCAAAATAAACAAAGAGACAAAGGCGTAGTTTGATGACGCCGTGACTGAGTGTGGAATCATGGGAGTTGTCGTCTTCATCCCCACAGCTGATGCAATCCGAGGGGGCTCGGGCAGAAATCATGTTATTAAAAAATCTTACATATTGTGCCTTTAAATAGTAACTTATTTAACCGATATCTTAAGTTAAAGGAATAGTTCACCCAAAATGAAAATTTTGTCATCATTTACTCACCCTCATGTTGTTCCAAACCTGTATAAGTTTGTCACCCTCATGTTGAACACAAAAGAAGATATTTTAAAGAATTCTAAAGAACCTAACAGTTGTTGGTCCCCATTGACTTCCATAGTAGGGAAAGAAATACTATGGAGGTCAATGGGGACCATCAACTGTTTGATTACCGGAATTCTTCAAAATATCTTATTTTATGTTCAACATAAGAAAGAAACTTATACAGGTTTGGAACAACATGAGGGTGACAAACTGATGACAACATTTTCATTTTTGGGTGAACTATTCCTTTAACATGCTAACTTTCACAGCTGTAAAAGTTCCTGCCCATAGACAGATGCAGACAATAAATAGGCTGGTCTGTCATATTGCATTGACAGAGCAGCTGTCTGGTCTTTGTGACGTTCCTTGCTGAAATCTGATTAAAAACGCAGCTCCTGGCGTTCAAGGCACTCAAAACACAAATGAACCATTGCTGTCTTTGTAACAGTGTTGGAATCCTTCAGGGGATGAGCTGAGTAATCAGAGGAATAATGAGTAAGTAAATGCTGCATAAACATTGAAGGTCGCTTTAGTCATCATGCTAGCTGGCAGACACTTAATAAAGACGCTGACTGACCTCTTAACCTTGTATGACTCATCGCACCGTTTTCAAACTAGGATTGTGACCATCTGTCCAAAGGCTTTCTCCCCTCAGGAAACCAAAACTTGGAGAGAAACGAGAGGAACATTTTTACAGAAAAGTTCAACAAAATGCACTTACTCTGAATGAGAACTCCAGGTTCTCTCCACCCCACACCTCCATTCCTGTGTCATATGTGCCCAGGTAATGGAAGTACTTCTTATTGACTGCAAACAAACCCCCAGCCATTGTAGGAGACCTGGATCAAAGCAACAGACAGCAATATTTCTGTGCTTCTAACTTACACTAACTTCCACGAAAAGCATAAAGTAGGGTGACCATACATTCCGTTATTCCCAGACATGTAAAATGTCCGACTTTTGGCCTTATACATTATATGTACACGTATTTGCATTGCTATGACCGTTCTCTATAGATCCCACCTTCTTGCACACGATTGGTCAATGATGTACAATGCCTGCACACTATTGGTCAAACTACTTTTCAGTCATTAACTTTAGCAAGTATGAAAACAGTTTTTAAAAAAAACAGTCGAAAATCTGACATCTTAGGCAATTCTCATCCAGGACATGTCTGGGAAAATAGGGACATATGGTCATCCTACATAAATGCATGGTTTACTGTTGGTTTATTGTGTTTATTTGCATGAACATATTTCATTTTGGAGAAAAAACATTAAAATACGGTCACCTAAATGGTTCTGTTTCCTGAAATATGGCCATAAAGATCACAAAAAACTTATACTATAAAATGGTCTGCTCTGCTGAGTGCTTTTGAGCTCTTTTTATGTGTAGAAAGAATTCTCATGATTCAGTAAATGCTCAAAATCTACTGACATATCAACCAAATCTCAGACTGAACATGTCAGTGTCATGCTGCATTGTTTTTATGAGACCAAGAATTAAATTTCCCTTAGTATTTCAAATTGTTTTCCATTTGGTGCATCCATGAAGCACAGACCTGATGACATCAGTGGCAGAACTTCTGCGTTTCTGTTCACGTTCTGGGACAGTGTGCCACGTGAACACCAATCGCCAATCAAATCCTCCGATCTGAGGTTCTCCAGGGTTGCCCAGGTACTGGAAGGTGTTCCAGTCGATAACATCAATCACTGGACACACCACAGCCGAAGGCTCATCCTTTATTCTACAGGATTTTTAAAAGTGAGGATGAAAAAAGCATGCACATTTTGTAATCCAAAAAAAGAGAGCAAATTTATATACAAATTTAAGAAAATAATGCATGTTTTAGGTTGGTAGAGGGTAGTTTATCAGTCTCACCTCTGGAGTAAAGGCTCCAACCAGCCTTCATGACACTCACAGTGGCAATCGAGGAAGGTCAGCACTTCTCCTGTGGCAATGGACGCCCCCAGGAGCCGCGCTCGCACCAAACCCTCTCTCTTCCTTGCACGGATCAGACGCACCTTTTTGAGATTGGCGATGTAGTTTTCTAGAGGTTCTTTTAAATGATCTGTGGGTCACATTCATGAGAAGTGCTCAGTAACAGCTGCAGGCCTAGAGGGAACCAGAACTTAGGACAGAAATAAAGTATGCTAATTGGCTGTATTAAGGAACAACTTGCTGTTTCACCACAGGGTGGAGCTGAGACCATGTTATTGCTGTGGTATTTCATTGATAAGAATCTGTTTTCAAACCTTGATTAATAGTTGTATTTGATGATTGATGATGAAATGAACACAAAATTATTTTTGTGTTTAAGGTATTTATTTATTTATGTCTCTTATGCTCATCAAGGCTGTATTTATTTGATCAAAAACACAGAAAAAAGTAATATTGTGAAATATTATTGCAATTTCTAATATTTGTTTCCCGTTTTAATATACTTTAAAATACAATTTATTTCTGTGACGCAGCAATGAATTTTCATCAGCCATTACTCCAGACTTCAGTATCACATGATCCTTCAGAAATCATTCTAATATGCTGATTTATTATCATTGTTGAAACTGCTTAATATTTTTTGGAACCTGTGATACTTTATTCTTTGATTCTTTGATGAATAAAAAGTTAAAAAGAACAGCATTTATTCAAAATTCAAAAAAAATATTGAGCAGCACAACTGTTTCCAACATTGATTTATAAATCAGCATATTAGAATGATTTCTGAAGGATCATGTGACACTGAAGACTGGAGAATGATGCTGAAAATTCAGCTTTGATCACAGAAATCATTTATATTTTAAAGTATATTAAAATAGAAAACTGTTATTTTAAATCACAACAATATTTCACAAAAATAGATAATAGATAATAGATAGATAAAATAGATACAGCCTTGATGAGCACGATTCTTTAAAAAACATTAAAAATCTTACTGATCCCAAACTTTTGAATGGCAGTGTATGTCTGCATATATATATATATATATATATATATATAATGAGTAATGTTTAAAAAATTATCTATTT